GGAAAAATTTAAATCGCATCATATGACCCCTTTAAAATGCTTTTGATATACATTACTTGATGGTTACACCACATTAGGGGGCGCCATTCTTACAACTGAACAAATGTCAGACCTCTTTCTGCTTGATAAACATGATTAACACTTGTCACGTTTAATGCTTGAGCTCTCCTGAAGAATATGAGTGATATTTTGGAGAGCTTGATTCCTGTGTGCTAATGGCTTTAGAAAAGGGATTTATCTCAAACCAAAACAGAGGCGTTGGATCGGATCTGTGTTTGAGAGAACTGTTTGATGTTCATTCTACAGTGACACCAGGGATGAGGCTGTTCTCTCATCCATATCACCGCTGTGAGGTTTAAGACTGTGTCTCACGCTATCAGAAGCTCTATAATTATCTGAAGAGTCGCTGATCCAGATGATGCCTCTCAGGGATCAATCCCCTCAAACGACAAGAAACACAAGCCCCTCTTTTATTCACTCTAGCTATTTCTTCATAATTTCCTCATTTTCTGTGTCTTATTGTGTGGAAGTGTATTGGCTATCAGTTTAAGATACTTTTTTACATTTTATTTTAACCTCTTGATACAGCATTTCACAATGAGGAAAGAGAGAAATATAATGCAATACAAGGCTTTTATTTCTAGAAATTTTGAACTGAGCTGGCTTGTTTTCTGTGTACAGGTGCTTCTTCAACTTTGGACAATTCTTGTCCCTTGACTTTTCAGTCATGAAAATGATTCCAAATATTCAAGAAGCTTTATATAAAGGTTATCATTCTATAATTGAACACTTCAAATAATAAAAAAGTAGTTTCACTCTTTATTGTTTTTGAGCATTTTTTTTTTAAATGTCGGGTGCGTGAAAATATTTTTGTCCTTTTCATCTGGATACAATATGACATTTATTTTTACAGATACTGATGCTATCTTTGATGGATGGATAGATAGACACTTTATTTTAAGGACCAATTCTAGCTATGAATTAGTTGCTTATTAGCATGCATATTACTAGCATATTGGCTGTTTATTAGTACTTAGAACACATATTAATGCCTTATTCTGCATGACCATATTTTACATCCCTTAATCCACCCCATACCTAAATTTAACAACTACCTTACTAACTATTAATAAGAAGCAAATTAGGAGTTTGTTCAGGAAAACTCTTAGTTAATAGTGAATATGTGTTCCCTAATCTAAAGTGTTACCGAAATTATTCTCCTAATAAAATTTTAATATTTTTTTATAGTGTATTTATTTGCCAAGGAGACAGCAGTGTTATTGAAGAGTTGTTTGAGAAATAAACATCTCCACTATAAAAGACAACACAGAAAGTTAAACATCACATAATTTTTTTGTGTGTCATTTCCAAACAGAAAAAAACTGTACTTTTGTCAAATAATAAAACAAAATAAAAAAGTTTAAAAGTATTATTTAAGTATGTGCATTTGGGATAGGCTATATAAAATGCTAGATATGAAAATACCCTTAAAAAGACAATGGAGTCAGTCTTTTTATTTTATTCCAAAAAAAAAAAATTCTAATACACACAAAAGCATTTGTAACGTGGTGGAAATGACACTGTAAAAAATTAATAATAATAAAAAAAAATAATAATAAAATAAAATATTCTGTGATGCATATCCACTGTTAGACATTGTTAGCATACAAATTAAAGAAAAGAAGTCTACATAGCTCTAAAGACATTTGTCTAAGGGTAGCACAAACAGAAAGTAAAAATGTTTTCTGTATAAATGTCGATAATGTAACATTCTACTTGAAATGGACTGATTCCAATAGAGTTTGAGGTTAGCATGTTGCTAAGCTAATAACAAAATGCTTTAAGCATTAAATTAATGTATTAAAGAATTAAATTGAGATTGCTATTCAATTTAATTAAAACTATTTTATTGATATTTTTAATGATGAGTGGAGAAAATGCTTTTTGAGTGCAGATTGTGTAGTTACAGAGGCTAACAGGAAGACATATCAACTTCTGACCCAACCAATGAATGTGGGGTTCTTTTTAGATGGACAAGTTAGCAACCACTGATACCACCCTAGAAACGGAATAGCATTGTGCTAAAACACAGTCAGAACACTATACGTTCTGGAGGTGAGTTTTTCTTCAGAAAATGAAATAATATAGTGTCATTGAAATTACATTCTGCACCTTTAACTGTCTTAACTCCTTTTCTTTCCTTAGTTTAAGTCCATTTTATGTCATTTCATTGTGCCTTTGTTCAGTTGATCTGTCTCAGTATTGATTCTGAAGCTTATCTTTGTGAGGTTCAGGCTGTTCAGTCTTTGATATGAGCTGTCTGACAGGTCCGGTTCAGTGTGTCGCTGTTGAATTATACAACTATGAAAAGAACAGAAATACACTACATCAGTGGGTTACTGACGGACAGTCGCACCACCCAGGCATGATAGAATATTTAGGTTGACAGGAATATCACTATCAACTATTCCTCATCATATCTATTCCGTTACACATTACTGTGATAGTCTAACTCACTGAGGCGCTGGATGAGGCCGACAGGTGTGAGCTCTGGACCGCATCATTGATTCTTGAGCTGTT